TGTGAGCAGACGTGTTCAATAAAGATTTTTTTAAAAAAGCATTGTGTTTGTTGACATCTACGCAAATCGGACTGTTATTTCTGCATTGTGTATCAGCCCCTAATCATGGCACCAAAGAAAGCAAGTGGAAATGGTAAAGCTGGTGAAAAAAGAGGAAATTAGTGCGCAAAACTATTGAATTTAAGAAAGATTTGATAGCGAACTATGAATCAGGTGTACGTGTGTCTGTGTTGGCTAAGGAGTTCGGCATGCCGAAATCAGCAGACAGACCATCATAAAGTCAGTGATGTGGCTAAAGTATCTCGTGTGTTAAGTGAACAAAGGCCACAAATATTAGAGGTAGTGGAGAAACGTTTGCTGATTTTCATAATGAGAAACAGCTAGCAGGGGACAGTCTTAGACAAGATATGAATTGCGGCAAAGCAAGACAATTGTATGGAGATTTGTAAAAAAGGATCCTTGCATTGCTCCTGAGGAGTTTGATTTTTAAAGCAAGCAGAGAATGGTTTGAAAAGTTTAGGAACAGAAGTGGGATACTCTCCGTGATTCGTCATGGGGCGGCAGCCAGTTCAGACAAGGAAGCTGCCGAAAAGTTTAAAGTTTAAAGTTGAGTTTGAAAATCTCATCAAGGCCGAGGAATATCTTCCCCAGCAAACTTTTAATATGGACGAGACTGGACTTGTGTGGATAAAACGGTTCAGAAAATGGATGGAGGGATGTTACCTTTTACCGTAGTGTTGGGGTGCAGAGAGAGAGTCCATAGTTACAGCCATTACTTTAGGGTTTATTAGTTCAAGGTGTAAAATAATGTAATCTACAATTGTCATGATGAGAGAGAGAGCGAGAGAGAGAGAGATGTTACTTGAATTAAATGTTACAATGTTAATGTTTGTTAAAATTGGTAAAAATAAAACATACAAAATGTTTGTACAGTTTGTTTGTACAGTATTTTACATATTACATGCTCTCTTCTTACATGTGTATACAGTTTGTGGTGTCAAATAGTAAAAAAAATGCTTTTAAAAAGTTTTCTAGACTTGGAACAGATTAAAATTTATTACATTGATTATAATGGGAAACATGGTTTTGGTTTTCGAATAAACCGGTTTTCAAACAGCCTTCTGGAACGGATTATAGTCGAAAACCAAGGTATGACTGTACTTTTGTTTTGGTGTATTTAAAATAATAATAATAATAATAATAAAGCACCCAGAACAATATAGTTAAAGTACCGAACAATAACCAGTATCATTAAAGGGGAAGTTAACCCCAATAATCTATTCTATGCAGCTTCACTGCATTCTGATTCATATTGCATTTTTGGGAATATGAGTTAAGCAGCGGAATCCACGCATTTTTAGCCATGCAGTTGGCCGCCATTTTCCCACTTTCTGTCGGCCAAAACTGACTTCACAGCTGCTCAGGGCCAGGCAAGGACCAATCTGACTCACCGTTTTTTTGTAGCTCAGCAATGATTGGTCGTAACCTGAGCCCTGCACAAGTGTGATGTCATTTTCAGTCGACACCAAGTGGTAAAATGGACGTCCCTTGAGATGGACAAAAATGGCTGAATTTTACTGCTTATCTTATATTCCAAATACACAATATTAATCAAAATGTGTTTAGACTAGCGGGGCAGCAAAGAGAATTTTAGGGTTGACTTCTCTTTTAAGAGTAGTGGTATTATTAAATTCTTAAAAATGGCAACACACAGACTTCGTAATGCAATTAGATGTCATTTTTGCTTGTTACATTCCACCGTCAATATACCACATTATATTCATGTCACTCACCCCAGGAATAAAGAATGGTTTTGTTCTCGGAGGTACACCATGATTATTTAACACTACTTGTGTATTTCTGGCAAGTTGCGTGCCAGATGTAGGGACTTATACACATTTTTATGTGTGGATGTACTGTGTACACGCCGAGACACTTTCGCCGTAAAGACAAAAAAAAAAAAAAAACGTGAAAATGCTGCAGAGAAATTAATGTATTCAAGTTAGGCTCTCAATGGCGAAGGTTACACGCTTACAAGTGCTTCTTGGACTACAAAGACCAAGATCCCTTGCAGATAAAACAAGAGCGTGCGCAAAACACAAACCGATACTTCGGTAGAAGGAGGTAACCCGATTACGTTTACATAACACAATATTTGGATCAGAAAAGGAGTTGCAACCCAGGGGTCTCAGTCAGGTTTTTGAAAACGATTTGTTTTTTAAAAACCCGATTAAGAGCATATCCGGGGGTTTGCGCATTTTGTGTGGCCTTTAAAACCCTGAATACTGATAATATTCGGGTTTTAAAAAGGTTGCTGACTACATGTAAATGTAGTCATTGAGATACTACCCTTAGGGGAGAAAAAGAGTCATACACAATCAATAAAGACTTCAGAAATTTGGGAGCCAATTTTATAGTTCATTTTTGAATAACTTATAAAACAGCTTGTTGGGACAACAAGAAAAACAACACAATTCAATGTCAAAGTGTCTCGAAATAAAGAGCAGCTCACATAATAATAATGGTAATTTGTTTGGAATGTTGCAGTCGCATTTAGCACCCAATTCTTCCGAGATTCTTCTTTTGAACATAATGTAATTTGAAATATGTTTAAAGAGCTCAACACAAAGAGATTTGGATATGTTTGAAATATGTGTTGACGATTGAAAGTGTTGAGGTATGATAAAATGGAAATGAGTCAGTATAATGAAAGCATTACAGTAGTCCCTCGTTTATCGCGGTTAATGGGGACCAAAACCACCCGCGATAAACGAAAATCCACGAAGTAGCGACCAATTAACATATTAAGGGTTTTTTTTAAGTCCGCAAACGGTCCGCGAGAAGCTGCGAAAGTCAGCAAAACAACAGCAAGTCATATAGAGCAACATATACAGTACTGTACTCCATGTACATGAAAAAAAAAACTTTTATTTTTTTATTTTTTTTTTTTTATGAATATGTTTGAAAAAATCCGCGATGCACTGAAGCCGCGATAAAGAACCGCGAAATAGTGAGGGATCACTGTATTATCGTCTAAAAGTAGCAAAATATGCCTTTTAAAGTCTTTTAAAAGTAGTCAAGCCTGACACATCCAGAGCTCAGTTCCACATTTGTTGAAAGATGGTTCCAGCATTGGCAAAATGATGCAAATTATTTATATATTGTTTGTAGAAGGGTATGATAGGAAACATATTTACTACATTTCTCTAATCAAACTGCTGAGACACTTTTGTCATGTTCAGAAAGAGTTTCTTTCAACAAATAAAACAAGACAGTACACACCTGCAGTCTTCCAATGGCCACGAGGCAATATTTCCCCGTCTGTCCTGCCTCTGTGTCCTCATCTGGTACAGTCATACCTGAGGGGAGAGACAGTCCAATTTACTCTATCTATTTTTGTAAAGATTTATTTTGTTTTTGAAAATGTAGTAACAGCAAGCAAAGGTGAGTCCACCACTGGGCCTAACGCAGTACATGTCCAGTATTATAACACACATACACAAGCACACACTGTATTATATACATTATACATATTTTTAATGCTGAAATTTTTCATTTCGCCACCCCCAAAATACGGCAACCGCCCTCCAGGCAACTCCATGCATTTAGATTTCATCAACAACGTTTGCGTCTCAGCCACAAGTAAGATTGAAGAATATTGAGAGTTAATTTGTTTTTATTTCAATTTTGATTTATTCAATACAATGTCACTGTAGTGACATAATAATGTTGTCAGCTTTATTTACAGAATGGCGCACTACAAATATCATCATGTATGGTCGCTAAGAATAGGAATAAGAATTAGAATAAGAATAAGAAAACCTTTATTCGTCTCACAATGGAGAAATTCCCAATTTACAGCAAGGCTGAATTGATTTTAGAAAAATAGTATAAAGTACGGTATGATGTAATTTTGAAAAACTTTAATGTGCAGGTTTCAAGAGTCAAAATTAAAGTGCAGCACTCTATCTATTGTGCCAACAAGCAAATAACATTGCTGATACTTTACTATAAATATTTAATGTACGCTGTGTTAATATACTTTTTTATCTGAGGATCATAATCTGTATTTTTATCGTTTAGAATTCAGGGGAAGTCAACCCCAAAATTTTCTTCACAATAAAATTGTATGCGCCTCTCCTAAGTCTAAACACTGCATTCTGATTAATATTGTATTTGTGTAATATGAGTTAAGCAGTGAAGATATAGCAGGTAATGACCAATCATGGCTCATTTTGCGAAGGCCACATGACCCAACTCAGAAAACAGGTGAGCCGTGATTGCTCAAGGATAAAAACGGGGTGGATTTTGATGCTTAACTCAAACGTAATATTAAGCACAAAGCCGTGTTTAGACTAGTGGAGGTGCATACAACATATATATTGTTATGACAATTTTTGGGTTGACTTTCCCCTTAAATTCGTTTTGACTCATGTCTTTTCTGTGGTTAAATTCCTGCTCATTAGTTGTTGAGGGGAGTCCACCTTTTCTCATCAAACCGGTCCCTTGTGTCTTCCAAAAAGCTTCCCCAGCAATTCCTGTTTCACAAAGAGTCTTCAAAAACTCTGTGTCTAATGCTGAACTCTGAGTTGATATACTCTGAAATTGGAAACTCTGAGTTTCCGGCTCATTAGTTGTTGAGGGGAGTCCACCTTTTCTCATGAAATTGGAAACTCTGAGTTTCCGCTTGCACAACATCAGATTTAAATCCGTTTAATCAACTCGGAGTATCTTCACATGGAATTAAGTGCGTGCAGCACACCTATGAAAAGATCACGTCAATGGATCTCCGATTTCGATGAGTCACAATGCCAATGAGGAAGAGGCGGGCCAATAGAACCGGAAATATGGAAATAATGCGATCACAGAGCGAGTTTGAACACATTTTCAGGATGAAGTCCAACACTGTATTTCGATGAGTCACAATGCCAATGAGGAAGAGGCGGGCCAATAGAACCGGAAATAGGGAAATATTAATGCGATCATAGAGCGAGTTTGAATACATTTTCAGGATGAAGTCCAACACTGCTAAAGGGAGGGAGTATGGGAGAATATTGCTTCTCGGGTATAATACAACAACCTATTAATTTATTTCATTAGCAATCCTGCGGGGATATACAACAGCTGAAGATGAAAAATATTGTTCAAACAGGTATGACCTCGGCATGACACACTTTTCTGACCGCCCTGCAAACAGTTGCCTTAAGTGCTCAGAACCTCTGACAGTGTACAAAAAAAAAAAAAATCCTCAATTTGTGAAGTAACAGAGCATCACACAAATATACTGGAATATTAAAGCATGACGCAAAAAAAAAAAAAATCCTCAATTTGTGAAGTAACACAGAGCATCACACAAATATACTGGAATGTTAAAGCATGACTATGACTGGTAATTACAAATTTTTCTGCTTGGCTCTTGGTGAAGGATGATGCTTTATGCTCTGTTACTAGCAGTTTCCTGATCTATCTCAAAATTGAGGTGCGTTCAGATCGTAATCTAATTTTAAAATATACATTCAATAAACAATGGGAGAATGTCAATGTGAAAATCTGAATTAAATGATTCGTAGTACTGTCTTTGAGGCAGGCAGTTTTTGTTCTTTTTCAATTTATTGGGATACATTTTTATTAAAAAATATTTTCCCAATCTTTTTCAGGAGTTTTCTAGAATACTATGGCTGCTGAGGCCTGTTTGCATAAAATCATACAGAAACAGCAAGTTAGTGTATGTTTGATTTTCATTTTCACAAAATCGTAAAGAATCCTGACATCTCTGAAGAGCCTTCTTTGTCATGTATTTCTTGATTTCAGTGGATGAATTGGCTGTGGCATTTCTGGTCTACCTGCCAACTTCCTCATCTAATTGCTGCCAACCTTCCTCGTGAAAGTTCTCTTGTCCTTTCCTCTGTGTCTCTTCCACCTCCTTGTGTCTCACATTGTCACATTATTTTCACTCTGTACGTTTTTCTTAATTCCGAATTGCAAAGATTTAGTTAACCTTCTTTCCGACTCTGATTTTAATGAAACCGGTTCTGTCCCTTAGGTTTCTGGATGAAATGAGTTTTTGTCCCCCTTTTTTCATGATCCCTCTGAGTCCAAACCCAAGTCTTTCTTTTCTGACATTTTACTTAAGACACCCATTTGGCTACAAATATCCGAGACATCAACAAAGCTGTCCTAGTAAAGGTGTCTCATATTTCCACCCCGTTTTCCAAATTGCGCAACCCAACAGCTATTCCCAAATCACGTAATCCCGTACCAGTTTCTACACCTCATTCCATGTCTTCTACAGAGTCAGAATCTTCCAAACCTGGCCACAAATCACCTTGTTCCGTCCAGTTTTTGTAGTTCACTTTTCCTAGTTCCTGGACACTCTGTCCCTATTTGGCGACAGAATGACCAGGCCCAGGCCCCCATGGCTGTTCCTTGGCATTGGCAGACCCCCGTTCCGGGACCTTGGCAGCAGCAGGCTCCTGTTTCGGTGGCCATCATGCTGTCATCAGTCTCTGCTATGGTGGTGCAGGTCCTGTGGCCACCGGATCATATGTGGCCTCTGCAATGCCCTCCGGCTGAATTACAAAAAGCCCCATGTGCTTGGCATTTTGCCTGACTGGTGTCCCGGATGTTCACTAGACTCACCACATTGGGGCGGACCCTGTGCCTGCCTCTAAGGTCCCTTCCACGCACCCTGTGAGCAATTTATGTTAGACTTAAGGAAATCTGGGATCCATCCCTTGAGTGGGAGGGGGGTAGAAGTGGATGTACTGTTATTATCTATATTTCCGTTGGTTAAAGTATATTTAGTTTTGTCTCACGTAATGTTTGTTTTTGTTCGTTGTTGTTGGTCATTTGTTTTTGTTTTTTTAATTTCCACCTGTGCTCATCAACCCATTTCCTTGTGTCTTGTCCCGGTGCTCCTTGTCGCCCTGGTTAATTTGCCTGTATTTACACTGGTTCCCTGGTTTCTGTCTTTAGCGGTTCATTGCTTCGGTTTCTGTTCCTTGTCTCTTTCCAAGTACAGTTGAGGGATTGGGACCAGCCACATCCGCAAATAGAAGAGCAAGCAAACATGTCTGGTAAACGAAAGCAAATCTCTCTGTCTGTGAAAGCTGAAATTGTATCTCACTTTCAAAAAGGGAGTTTCCCAGACGAAGTTCAGCCGAGACAATAAATTGGCAAAGTCGACGAACTCGAAAATAATCTGTAATGGCAACAAAATCGTGGCAACGTTCCGAGGACAACAGATTGAAAGATGATCGGAAACGGCTTCAGGGCAGTGCACATCCTGACCTGGAGAAGACACTTTTCACTTGCTTACTGAATGTTTTCAGAAACAAGGTAGGAACGCTACAGTTGTAGAGTCATTTTTTTCTTTATGCCGTATACATGTATTTGAAATTGACATGTTTATACTACATTACATCTTCATGTTTTTACATCTATAAATGTTCATACTGTATTATACATTGTAGTTGGTGGCTTTTTAATTGGAAATGGTTACAACGAACTACCAGTATAACATTCAGATTCGCTATGTCCCTCGAGGTATGTTCTAATGAGGTTCGACTGTATATTACTGTGTAGATTTAAATGATATATTAAAACCATCACTCACGAAGAACCACCATAATGACCAAAGTCAAAGTACAATGACAAAGTGAGCCTACATGTTGAGTATAAATGAAGCATGTTTTACATATAACATGAACAAAAAAAAAAATCGATGCTTGTATTTATTATTATAAGCCACTGCAACATTGTACACAGGTCACACATTAACACTGTTATAGAATATAGGAAAATTAAAAGGTACTAAAGTAATGATTACATTTAAATGTGTTAAATGTATAAAAAGCATACTCTAAATAATGTTTAAAAACAAACATTTCAAAGTAATTTCCATGCTATGTTTCTAAAAATCGAATACGTTTGGAAGAGAAGTGTTGAAAACTTGAAAAGACTGAGTATGTTTTCATACTGAAATGCTAAAATATAACAGTTGTCCGGATTTTTGGGGCATGGCTAAAATGCAGGCGAGTGGGCGCACCCAAAGAATAGCATGAGTCCCTCCTCCAAGTACTGAGCACCCTCATTTCAGTTGTCGCGATTCAGTGCAACTACCTCTTACGTGGCCCATTTATACTTCTGCAACATGCAGTTATCTTGCATTTGCATAATAGCATAAGCATTGCACTTATATTTAACTGTGTACAGTTCTTTTCTGAAACATTTATTTCGTGCAATGAATCACTTTGTCCCCCCACCCCCCAGCCCCAATTTTGCTGCTGTAGACTGCAAATTTCCCCAGTGTGGGACAAATAAAGTTTATCTTAATCTTAATCTTAGCTATGGAGCTATG